AGTGTAAAAATATTTTAAAAGGTGTTATGTATATATACCAACTTCCCACAATGAATGTAATCATGTACTATAAATACGTCCTAATAAAAAATAAACATTTTAAAAAAAAATTTTTTTTTTTTTTTTTTTTTTGGTCTTTTTTGAGACAAGGTCTTGCTATGCAGTTCAGGCTGGCCTGAGCTCACTTTGTAGCTCAGGCTGGCCTCAAACTCGCAACGATCCTTCTGCCTCAGCCTCCCAAGTACTGGGATTACAGGCATGTGCCACCACACCTGGCTAAAAATTTGCTTTTAAAAGTAAGAGTGGGCTGGGAATATAGCTCAGCGGCACGAGCACCTGCCTGGCAAGTGCAAGGTCCTGAGTTCGATTCCCCGAACACACACAAAAAACACAAAAAAACCTTTAGGAGCTGGAAATGAAACTTGGTAGTATAGAGCACCCCTAACTTGAGTTCCTAGAACTGAAAAAAGAAAGATAAGCTAACTCTGAGTTGATCACTACCCAATATATACAGGAATCAAAATATAACATTTAGAGCTGGGCGTGGTGGTGCATGCCTGTAATCCTAGCATGCAGGATGCTGAGCAGAAGGATTGTCATGAGTTCGAGACCAGCCTGGGCTACAAGGTGAGCTCAAGGCTGACTGGAGCTGCATAGCGAGACCCTGTCTCAAAAAGACCAAAAATAAAAGAAGAAAAAATAAAAGCAAGCAAGTGTTCTATCACTGAGCTACTCCCTCAGCCCCAGATAAGAGGGTTTCTTGTTTTAGTTCTTGGATTATTTTGTTTTATTTTGTTTTTTGCTTACTATGTAGTCCAGGCTGGCCTCAAATTCTTGGTCCTCTCACTTTTAAGTTTCCAAGAGCTGGGATTATAGGCATGAACCACCGTGCCTGGCTACACCAATTTGGGTGTGGGTGTGTGTGTGTGTGTGTGTGTGTGTGTGTGTGTGTGTGTTTTTGAGACAAGGTTTCACTATGCACTTCAGGCTGGCGTTGAACTCACAGCAATCCTGTGTCAGCCTCCCGAGTGCTGGAATTACATGTGTGAGTCACCGCATCTGGCACCAATTTTTTTTAACTTTATATTTTTTATTACTATATATTTGTTATTTGTTTTTGTTGTCTGGTGTTGAGTTTTTGGTGTTTTGCTTTGTGGTACTGGAGATTGAACAAGGGCCTTCACGTCGAACTATATCCTAACCCTTTTCCCTTTTTATATTTTATTTTAAAACAGAGTCTCACTAGGTCATTAAATTGCCAGGTTGCCCATTCTGTAGTTGAACTTTCCATCCTCCTGCCTCAGCCTCCTAAGGTGTGGGATTATAGACTTGGGCCACCACACTCAGCTCAAAGACTACTTTTTTGGCCCAATTTTGCCATTTCTTCTCTTCCAATAGGAATACATCATAAAATTTTCATCTTTACTCGGTATATTTTACCAAATGTGATTAAAAAACACCCATAGTAAGCCTCAACATAAAGTGTGAATTCAGTTCTGATGTCCATTCATATTTTTCAGACTGTATATGAAATGATATGTACTCTGTACACAAAATAATGAAAGTTCATGATGCATTGCCTGTCATGATCATACCGACACTGAATTATGACTACAGCTTTCATCACCTCTAGAAAATCAAAACCATAAAGATTCAGGATATTTTGGTGTTTTTTTTTTTTTTTTTTTTTTTTGGTTTTTCTCCGGTACCAGGAACCGAACTCACGACCTTGCGCTTGCCAGGCAGGCGCTTTTGCCGCTGAGCTAAATCCCCAGCCCCGATTCAGGATATTTTGGCTTGGAAAAATTGGTCTATATTCTTAATCTGAAAAAAAATCCCAAAGAAACCGTTTCTTTTTCTCTCTCCCTCTCCCTGCCCCTTCTCCCCTCCCCACGTTTCCCTTCCTCTTTCCTCCTTCTCCTCCTCCTTTCTCTCCCTCCCTCCCTGCTTCCTTCCCTCCCTTCACAGCTTACACTGTCCTCCTGACTCAGTCTCCTGAGGAGGTGGAACACAAGCTTAGAAGTGTGCACCACATCTGGCTTTTTTATTTTATTGTTAAATTTTAAATTTTCTTACGGACATTAGGTGCTTTTCTTTTACCGGGTTTCTGTGTAACAGTGGCTTTTTAAATTTAAAACAGGGTCACTACATGCCTTTTACAGGGTAGGATGAACTATGTAGTTGCACAAAAATGAAGACAAGCCAGATGTGGGAGCAAATACCTGTAATCCTAGCACTCTGGGAGACTGAGACAGGAAGATCATAAGTTCAAACCCAGCCAGGGCAATTTAGCAATTTAGTGAGAACCTGTCTCAAATTTTAAAAAAGGCTAGGGCCCTAGCTCAGTGTGAAGGTCCTGGATTCAATTCTTAGTACCTCAAAATAAAACAAAAAAGTAAAAACAAAACAAACAAAACCTCTCAGCAATTATGTTAACAATATTTAATGATAATTTGCTGCACTTAAGGCTGCATATTAAATAGTATCACACATTCATTCAACAAATGTACAGTTTAAGGTCCTGGGAAATTAGAAATGAAAAACATAAACCCCACTCCCCAAAGGTTTTCTGAGATCATGGATTTACTTGGATACCAAGATAAATTAGACATTAGCTGGGTGTGGTGGCGCACACCAGTAATCCCAGCACTCAGGAGGTTGAGGCAGGAGGATCGTTGTGAGTTCGAGGCCAACCTGATCTACAAAGTGAGTTCAAGACCAGCCTCAACTGCATGGCAAGACCCTGTCTCAAAAAGACAAAAAAAAACAAAAAACAAAAAACTTAGACCTTGTTGATCAGTTTAGACAGACCCACCCAGAGGTGTGAAAAAAATTTTAAGTGATAGATGTTTTGGTTGGTGTGATGGCACACACCTGTAATCCCAGCATTTGGGAGTCTGAGGCATGAGGAAGTTCAAAGCCTGGGCTACATGGTTAGTTCAAGGCCAGCTGGAACTACATAGCAAGACCTTGTTTTTTTTTTAAAAAAAAAAAAAAAAAAAAAAAAACACTTTAAATTCTGAAACTAGAAGAGGGAGACACTATTTCTAGTTGGAGGATCAGAGAAGCTTTCATTGAAAATAACTCATTTGAGACCAGCCTACATACAAGTAGTCTAAACTGTGCAACATTTGATACATAATGACTTGTAGTTAAATCCATTGTACTGTATTACAAAATAACAACAAAGAAGGTGATTTTAAAATCTGAACTGTTGCCAGGTGTGGTGGCCCACGCCTGTAATCCCAGCACTTGGGAGGCTGAGGCAGGAGGATCCTTGGGAGTTCAAGAGCAACCTGGGTGACAAAGTGAGCTCAAGGTCAGCCTGAACTGCATAGCGAGACCCTGTCTCAAACAGACAAAAAAAAAAACAAAGCAAAAAAAATAAAACCTGAAGTGCACAACCAAGAGCTAGAGGGAGGGAGGGCAGGAGGAGGGGACATAAAAAGAATTAAGATGTATTATGTGCTTGTACCAACTCCCCACTCCACAGTGAATATGATCATTGCCGGGCATGGTGGTGCACGCCTGTAATCCCAGCACTCCGGAGGTTGAGGCAGGAGGACTGTTGCAAGTTTGAGACCAGCCTGGGCTACAAAGTGAGCTGGAGGCCAGCCTGAACTGCATGGCAAGACCCTGCCTTAAAAAGACAAAAAAAAAAAAAAAGAATATGATCATTATATGCAGCAAACATGTACTAATAAAATAAAACTTGAAATTCACATGGGTATCTGCATTTTACTTTTATAGGTGTGAAAGATTTTCAACCAAACAGCTCAGAAATTAAAAGGACCAATTTTGCAAGTGTGGTTGTCTTGTTTTCAAAAAATTCTCAATTTTAGCACACCTATAATCCCAACATTCGGGAGGCTGAGGCAAGAGGATCCTTGCGAGTTCGAGACCAGCCTGGGCTACAAAGTGAGCTCAAGGGGGCTGGGGATTTAGCTCAGCAGCACAGTGCCTGCCTGGCAAGGGCAAGGTCGTCAGTTCAATTCCCGGTATCAGAAAAAAACAAAAACAAAAAAACAAACAAAGTGAGCTCAAGGCCAGCCTGAACTGCACAGTAAGACCCTGTCTCACAAAGATTAAAAAAAAAAAAAAATCTTAATTTTAGATCATATAGACTTTTCTACTTAAATATATATTTAACATTTTGGTTTTTGTTTTTTTTTTTTTTTTTTGGTTTTTCTCCGGTACTGGGAACCGAACTCACGACCTTGCACTTGCCAGGCAGGCGCTTTTGCCGCTGAGCTAAATCCCCAGCCCCCTATATTTAACATTTTGAAATGAAATAAAAATCTTTTATCCTATATTTTCACTATGACTTACTCCAGAGTAACAGTCAGATTAAGTGGTTTTTATTTTTATGAGCATAAACTAAATAAGCTAAATAAGCTCTTTTGCTAAATTACTGAAGTTCTTCATTTAATTTCATGTAGTAAAATTTGTGTTAACGAAATCTCCTTTTAATTTTCCAAGACTCTGAAAATTTTAGTCCCTGTAAACATGTGAATTATTATAGGTGAAACTAGCAGCTAAATCTATGAATTGCTTCCCCCCTTATTTTAAATAAGTGAAAAGAAATCTCTCCTAAATTACCTTGTTCTAGCAAGCTTTTCTCTCCATCATTTTTTATTTTAAAAATTAAAAAACTGACAAAACAACAATGAAGACAAAATCAAAACAACACAAAACAACTAAAATGATACATGACCTCAAAACAAAATGAGAGAAATTTACAATGGTTGCCTTTAACGAAGTTGCTCAGTCCGTTATGCATAAGAATGTAAGATTGATCAAACAATCAAAGACAGTAACAAGTAATAAATAAATAAGTAAATAAAACATTGGAAATGATGCAGAGCTTCATCATACAAGATGGTAGGAGTTCAACAATGGTTCTTATACTGCATATTGTTTTCATATCAGTCATTCTGACTACCAAATTCAAGCGTGCAAAACTGGTCAAGAAAAAAGAAAATTTGGGGCTGGGGATTTACCTCAGCGGCACAGCACCTGCCTGGCAAGCGCGAGGTCGTGAGCTCGATTCCTGGTACTGGAAAAAAAAAAAAAATTTTAAGCATTGACTGTTCCTCTCAATACACCACAGACATCAGCAATACACCTATTCCAGCGATCCTTGTATGTACACATAAAATTTGTTTTTCATTAAAAAAACAAAATGACAAAAACAAATACATAAGCAAAACAGCATAGAGAGCAATAAAAATGATATAGAATTTTAAAACATGGTGATAGGATATTAACAATGGTTGTTATATTACGTCATGTCCATCATTTGTATGAGAAGGAAATGATCAAATGCACAGGGAAAGTCATAATCACAGAATATCCAGATCTGAGTCTTATAGCCACACTTATTTCAAATACTTAACGAGTCATCTGCAGGTTGTTACTTTTTCTCTCTTTCTCCCACAGCATTTTTTCCCCCATTGTTTTTATTAGTTTTTCAAGTGCACTACTACTGAAGCTGTTTCATAAGAAGGAGCAAATATATTGAAATTCTTTAATTTTACAAAAAAAAATCCTGCGTCTTTATTGCTGCTCAAGTGAATGTTTCAATTCTAACTAAAGGAGGAGAGTCCAAGCCAGGGATAGTCACTGCATCAGAAATGAAAATTTTGTCTTTTATCTAAATAATTCTTACAGAATAATTCAAGAATCTACCAAGACAAGAAGATAGTTATTCGAATAGAGTACTTAAAAGTTTTTAAATCCAGGGGCTGGGGATTTAGCTCAGCAGCACAGCACCTTCCTGGCAAGTGCAAGGTCATGGGTTCAATTCCCAGTACCGGAAAAAAAAAACAAAAAACAAAAAAAAAGTTTTTAAGGGGCTGAGGATTTAGCTCAGCGGCACAGCGCCTGCATGGCAAGCGCAAGGTCGTGAGTTCCATTGCCAGTACCAGGAAAAAAATAAATAAATAAATAAATAAAGTTTTAAAATCCAATATATATTGTCTAGATCTAATATTTTGTTTAGTTTTGAGATATTTTTATTAGTCTCAGCAGGCTCCAGTTTTTCTTCTAACAATGTATAATTTATTTCTATAAAACTAACGTATCGAAATATTGTTCAGAAATCTAATGGGAGCAATTAGAAACTAATTCTTATTTTATTTTATTTTTTTTGGTACCAGGAATCGAACTCAGGACCTTGCACTTGCCAGGCAGGCGCTTGTACCACTGAGCTATATCCCCGGCCCTAGAAACTAATTTTAAAGACCAAATAATGCCTGTAATCCCAGCACTGGGAAGGCTGAGGCAGGAGGATTGCTGTCAGTTTGAGGTCAGCCTGAACTTCATAGTAAAACCCTATCTCAAAAAGAAAAAAAAAAAAAAGACCCAATATAATTATTACTAAATGCTCACACTGACTGATGACCTAGAAAACTAACATTTCACTCATTGGTTTTGAAATTCTGGTATCTTTGGTTTTCTTTTTGTTCTCTTACCCTACTGTTTGTATTATGGTAATGATTTCTTATCTAAGTACACGTGAAGCACAGGGTCTGATTCTAACAAAAGGGTCCTTTTGAAAATGCGTTAACTTAGAGAGTGGAGACAAGTTTCTTGCAATTTTTGGTCACAACATTGGCTTGGGTTAGTGGCTGGCATTCGTAAAGGATTCCTGCCGGGGGATACAGCTCAGTAGCACAAGCAGCCTGGCAAGCACAAAGTCCTGAGTTTGATTCCCTGTGCCAAAAAAAAAAGTAAAGGATTCCCTTACTGGGAGTTTCTCTCGTCTGTGTCTCTCTCCTGTTTTCCTCACAAACTGTTACTTAGCTGTGGTATTTGCCTAAACTTTTCTTTTGTCTTATTACCCAGTATCCAGTAGCAATCCCTGCCTGCATTACATTTTATAGAATGGTCTATAAAAAATATATACAGAAAAGAAGCTTGATGGAACTGCTTAGTATCTTAGCAAACATTTCTTCTTTCTCTTTTTTTTTTTAATTTTCTGGTACTGGGAATCGAACTCACGACCTTGCACTGGCCAGGCAGGCGCTGTGCCACTGAGCTAAATCCCCAGCCCCCTTTCTCATCATTTAAAGTAAAAAGAAAAATGCAGTTCATTGGGATTTACGGAAGGGACGATGGGTCTCACACAGGATCTTTCAAGTTTTTTCAGGGACAAAAATTTTTAGAATCTGTGTAGGGAGACTTTTCTATAAACTTTCTTTAAAGGCCCCCAATAACTTCATTGAAACTTCCAGTCTTAGTCTTTTTGCTGAAAACTAAATTCCACAAATATTTGTTGAGGGTTACTCAGTGTCCTTGTGCTGTGAAAAAGGTAATGGTGGTATGAATACACAGTTTACAGCTGAGAAACAAAGGCCCAGGAGGTGACAAGTCTGACCTAGGGTCACAGCAGGGGCAGCTACACCCAGAAAACAGTCGCCATGACAGCACCCACAGTTGAGGAAGGTCAACTGATTCCAGGTAAATAAAGTGAGGGAAGAGCACTTTTCATTCAAAGGCAGCTAAGGACTTTGAGCTCTTGGAGGCTGCTTTACTTCTCAGTTTCTGTTATCTAGTAAGCGGTAAGAAGCCAGGAGTATTCACCGCCAGTGACCATACCCCATTTCCAGGGAGAGCAGTGACAGCATGAGCTGGAGCATCTCCTCCTTTTCTCTTCCCTCCGTTCCCCTCTCCTCCCCTCCCCTCTTTCTCTGGGGGTGGGGATTGAATCCAGCACTTTCACACTGAGCTAGATTCCCAACCCTTTTTTCAGTTTTTTGAGTCAGGGTCATGCTAACTTGCTGAGGCAGAACTCAACCTTTCGATCTTCCAACTGGAGATCTGCTGTCTCAGCCTCCAGAGTAACTGAGATTACAGGTATGCATCATCACATGCAGCTTGGATCTGTTTTCTTATCACCAACAATACAGGGGAAAAACTATTGATATTACTATATCCTATTCAGGGTTGTTACAAGATGTCATTCAGTTATAAACATATCTCTGCCCTGCTGCGCAGCTAAACCACAAACTGCACTGACCTGCTCTGGACTCACTTGCTCAACTGTGAAACAGGTACCCTAGTAGACTCTAATAATCCTTTCAGTCCACAAGTTATAGGATCATCTTATTATGAAACGGTTTCAACGGATGATCATATATAACCAAAGATATTGTGAATACTCTAGTTATTAAACAAACAGCTTCTTTGTATAAAGTATCCAATAATTT